AGAAGGTGGTGGAACTTTTAGATGTTTTATAATATTGTGGTTATCGACCCCCCCCCCCCCATGGCTACATCCCCGCTATAAAGAAAATGTGAAACTTGAACGACTACATATTCAAATATACCTTTAAAAAAATATAAAAAATCCTTACGCGCTCTTGGAGGGGGGAAAGGTCAATAGGTACGAACGAACCCCCTCCTCCCCACGCTTTTTTTTAAATATAAAAGTAGTAATGCACGCTCTTTTTATTTTTAGGGACTTATCAAAAGTAAAATTCACTATTAATGTAAATATACCTGATGTTTAAACTTTCAATTTTTTTCTATTGCTTCCTGAATTTTGTTTTAAATGACTGGTTGACTATCGCACCGATACAACTCGGTAGGTATTCTTCCTACGTCTCTCCTATATCCGATGTTCAGATATTACCAGCTCCTTGGAAGAAACCAAAACTTCACACTTGTAATAATAGTCACATTATGTAGATATCTACCATATTTGTTCAATTGCAACCTGAAGTATGATCGAATTGCCCATGGGTTTCAGTTCGTTTGACCCGGCCCCCCAATGGCACAGCAGTATGTCTGCGGACTTACAGCGCTAGAAACCGGGTTTCGATGCCCGTGGTGGGCAGAGCTCAGATAGCCCATTGTGTAGCTTTGTGCATAACTTCAAAAAAAAAATCGTTTGACCTGAAAGTTAACCCTAATTTTTGAACAACAGGTGATGTTTTCAGTATCAAACAACGAAATACTGCAGCCTTTTATTTGTGAAACTTTTAACGGGTGATGTTTTCAGTATCAAACAACGTCATACTGTTGCCCTGTGTTCACAAAACTTTTAACACATGATGTTTTCAGTATCAAACAACGTCATACTTTTGCCCTGTGTTCACAAAACTTTTAACACATGATGTTTTCAGTATCATACAACAGTCTTTTATTTACAAAATAAGCACACGACGACTTACGTCAAATCTTCACCGTTCTCAGTCACGTTCTAGTTGACTCTCTGATCCTTTACTGCCCAATTCTGCTTTTTTTGTCACGGTTTTTAAGATATTCGCGTAAAGTCACAAGGGGCTATACTGCCTAATTTTAAATGATACGCAAAAGGGTGAGACAGCTAGACAAAAGCACCCTTCGCCAACTCTTGTGTCCTATACATACTGGAGTATCTATGACCAGAAGGTTTCAGCAGAAGTACAAAGAATGTCAGAGGTTAAAAACTTGGAGTGCGGTGATATTCAGCCATCCAGATAGCAGTTCAAAACTATTTTACAAACCAATAGTCACCTACAAACATTGGAAACCATCGCCGTTCGACTTAGAAGACCAGCACTTAAAAACGGCAGATCAATAGTTCGGCACACTAACCAATGGACCACACATGGACCCTCCCCTCCCCAGAAATCAGAGAGCAGAGTTTCAAAGAGTCAATTTTTAGTTCAAAATATATACATACTTCCATTATAATAATAGTATTTAAAAAGAAAAAGAAAAAATGTTATTGCAGTTTCAACGGCTGTGCAAAATGGTAAAACAATTTAGTATGTAGGAAATATCAACAGTTAACTCAATAAGTATTTGATATTAAAAACAAATACAGAAAGAAAGAAAACTTACTCCACAAAACTTTCTTGATGTATCTTGTCTATTCCAGTCTCCACAACACGCTCCGCCACAGACACTTTCAGTAGTACTCTCTTGAGCAATGACATTTGCGTGTGAATTATTTTTTGCTGTTAAATAAGTAAAGAAAAAGTTCAATATATTCCATTGTAAAAACAATGATAGGAAATAATTATGAAAAGCTGAATAATCTCTTCTGCTCCAGAACCATATTTTGTTTATCTGTGCTGTTTAGTGTTTTTAAGTTTTAAAAGTTATCAAGTGTTCTTGCAAAAATATGTGAATTAGATCAATCTCCGGTCTCGTGATATTTTCTTAAGTCCCAATAAAAGTTTACAGCCATTCTCGTTAAAAAAAATATCGTTATCTAAAAACTATACTATTTTAAAGTGTTTTGTTGCTAAATAAAAAAGGTACATAATGGGCTATATTTGCTGCGCCCACAACAGAAAATGAAACCCGACTTTTAGCATCGTAAGCTCCCAGACGTATCGCTAAGTCACTAAAGGGGGAAGGGGGGCTTTAAACATAAGAATTATAATTGTTTATCACAACCAGTAAGCTGATGCATAAGGAAAGTGGAAACTCTTTGTATTTGACAGCATCTTAGAACACAGATTCTCAATAGGGGTTCAGCAAAGAGCTCTAGAAGCATGCTTTAGAACACAGATTCTCAATGGGAGTTCAGCAAAGAGCTTTAGAAAGATGCTTTAGGGCACATAAAGCACAGATTCTTAATGGGAGTTCAGCAAAGAGCTTAAGAAGGGTGCTGTAAAAATCAAATTCCCAACTAAGGGTGTAATAGGGTTTCCCAGAGGCTTCAGCACATATAAAAAAACTGTTTCCTCCAGAGCAACTAAATGCCATTGAGATCGGAGCATCATCCACGTTATACCATTAATGTTGCCTTCAAGCATAGCGCCGCATGTCTGGAAATAGTTAACAACTATATTAACATTTATTTCTGAACTTGGGTTCTGCTACCACAATATTCTAAATGTATCTCCATTGGGCGAAAGGAATTATTGTAACTATTGTACCAGAGGTTCAAGGTTCCTGCCTTAAAAATAAGAGAACATGATTTACGGATGTTCTGTGTGTATAAGTATAAGGCCACGTAGGTCTGTCATAAAACTCGTAATAAATCAACGTGGCTTGTTAATTTTAGTATCACGACTTTGCTGTGTCATTCTATATAAAGAAATACAAGACGAAAGGTAGGGCGATGTCATTCTATATAAAGAAATACAAGAAAGGTAGGGCGATGTCATTCTATATAAAGAAATACAAGAAGAAATGTGTAATCTCATAACTTCAGATATTTATGGTAAAGATATTTATTAGGGGGTGGGTTCTGATTGTTGTTTCCTTTTCAAATATATACGAATCGCTTTCACCTCTTGATATTTGCCCGAAATAATTACAAAATATTAATAATGATACAACACTTCAGATGTGAAATCAATTCTATTACCTGTTTTTAAAATGAAGGAGGTGCACCGAGACAAGTAAGCAGAGATAGAAGCTTAGGTCTCTGGTTTAAAATGGAGGAGCTGCACCGAGACAAGTAAGCAGAGACAGAAGCTTAGGTCTCTGGGTGCCAAATTAAGTGTTTGACTGAAACTCCAAGATAAATGTCAATTTGTGCATTTAAAAGAAATAACTAGGCCCGGCATGGCCAGGTGGTCAGGGTGCTCGACTCGCAATCTGTGGGTCGCGGGTTCGAATCCCCGTCACACCAAACATGCTCGCCCTTTCAGCCGTGGGAGCGCTATAATGTGGTGGGTGGTGATGACTAGCTGCCTTCCCTCTAGTCTTACACTGCTAAATTAGGGACGGCTAGCGCTATCAGATAGCCCTCGTGTAGCTTTGTGCTAAATCCATAACAAACAAACAAGAAATAACTGAATTATTCTGGGGCACTTGAATGAGTCATGTATTAATTTCTGTTTGATTACATGGTAGCCTTGGCCAAATTATATATTACTGTGAGATGTTAGGGACAAAGCAAATACGGCAAAGATGCTACAAAAAAAAACTTGTATAAATTAACTAGTTTTCTTATAATTTTGTCCTCTACAGAATTTCCTTAAGTGTGCTAAAACGGACCTCTATGTATTGTGTGATATGTTTCACGGCCTCGTCCCCACTCCATCACGTGACATCCACGTGCTTATTTTGTATATATCGACAGTTTCAATTAGCATGATGGTTACCTTCTATTCGCCCCCCTGTGGCACAGTGGTATGTCTGCGGATTTACAACGCTAGAATCCGGGTTTCGATACTCATGGTGGGCAGAGCACAGATAGCCCACTGTGTAGCTTTGTGCTTAATTACAAACAAACAAACCTTCTATTCTTGTTGCCCACTTTTCTGCACTTACACCTCCTTCGTAAGTTTATATAATGAAGTCCGGTTTAAGTTTGTTTTTTCAACTTAAAAGTGAAACCAACACGATGATGACAATTTGATGATGTGTATATGTTTGTGTACAATTAATTAGGGTTTACTATTACTTATAACCAGTGAAAACATGACTTTCCTTAACAGATTATCAATCATGATGTTTTTGTATTTTTTTAGTATACACACATATTATGTTGGTGGTTGTTTCTTGCGCAATGTGTTAATGTATCAAAATTTACCAAGTATTCACGTATGAACATGTATCTAGTATTAATGTATCTAAACGTAACTTTTTGATGACGAATTACTTGTATGAGAAAAGTTTCCTGTTTAAAAGTATAACTTTTCTTTCAGACACCCAATATATATATACCCTTAATCATGAATGTTTTTAGTATTAATCGTTAAGTCTGAAAACCTTTATCAAAGCTCTGGAAAACAGTTTCAAGAAGAAGACCAAAACAAAAACAGCATAGGGTTGGTGCGAGTGCTGATAGGAAAGACGAGATAAACAGAAGCTTCCAAAGTTGGAAACATTACGTTCGGGACTGTAACTTAAAAGCTTTTTCCATATTTATTATTATCCAACATAACGAAAACTTGGAGCGATTTGTTTTTGGAATAAAACTGGAAACAAAAGGTGGACTTAATCTATATGAGCCAGCTTTTGGAAAGCGCGTTTGTTGGACCAATAACAACCAGTAATAAAATTTTCAGCTTCGAAAAACGTAAACGTTGTAAATTGTGAAGCGCCCTCTTTTACTTTCTAAGATTTTTGCTACTCACAACTCAGCCCTTGAAAACCGCCACCTTTCGGAGAGTGAAAACCTGTTAGGAAATATCGTATTTAGTGTTACATTAATCAGGTCTTTGTAAGTCTGATGAATTCCAAAACGGTCACTTCTTTTTAACGTCTTTCACACTTTAGTCTACATTTACCAAAGTAATCTCTGTAAATAAAAAAAAAATCTGTAAACACTTATTCTCAATTATAGAATGTAGAGAAAAGGAACGTCGAAATCTAAACCATTATTTGACAAATGTCTGCGTGTGTCCATTTATAACTGACAAACCGTTGGACCGATTTTACACCAAATCTAGCATGCATCCGTTGCCTCTCCCCTCCCTCTTCCTGGGCAGTGGACCCCTATGTCTTCCTTTATAACTGGCTAAACACTGGATCAATTGTTACCAAATCTGGCATGTACCCTTAAGGTTCCCACGGGAGGCTATGGGGTGGGAATGAGGGGTCGTCGTACGGATCTGATCACCTTATGTCTTGCCCGTGCGTTGAACGAGAGCATCAGCTATTAACTTGTAAGATTGCGAAGAAACGTTTAATGCAAAGCTAACCTCGTATACGAAGGTGTTTGCCACCAAAGAGAAAGCAATCTCCATCTGCCGGAAGAGGAGTGTTGGAGGAGTCCAGGAAGGCCGAGACATTCTGGACATCGAGCTCGAGACCTCGTTTCGCCAAAAGGTCCTTGACCACTTCTCTATATAAAAGACAAACCTGTATCGATATAACTTTTATAAACTTGTAATTTCTCGATATTTCCACAGAATGCTACCTTTCAACATTTCCTTGTCACGTTGATTTTATTCAGATTTTAAACCATAAGTATTTGTAAAGTGTGCTGTTGTAACGTAAAAATTGTAATAAATTATCTTTAAATATTTAACGATGCATTTGTCTGTTTATTTCAACCATGATAAACAAAAACTACATTACAAAAATGCTTAAACCTAACTCCAACCTTAACTGATAAGGTAAGTTCTACAAAATATTTAGAAGTCATTACTCATCAGAATTTAACAATGAAATGTTTGTTATATTTACAAAATAAGTAAATATTCTTGTTTTAAGTAATTTACGAAATTTTATAAATTTAGAAATATTCACAAATTTCCATTATAGTTTCATATTTCAGATCTTAGACAATTTTCTCATTATACAATATTATAAGTTAGTTTTGTTTAAGCGCAAAGCTGTATAATGGGCTATCTGCGCTGTGCTCATCATAGGGATCAAATACCACAAATAGTAACGTCACCATAACTGTCCCACAATTTTTTTTTTAGATACGAAACAAAGGCTGTTCAGACTATTTTTGTTCCAAATGTATTTACTCTATTTTACTTGGTTATGTCGGGCTATCTACTGTGTCCACCGAGGGGAATCGAACCCCTGATTTTAGCGTTGTAACTCCGTAGACTTACCGCTGTCCCAGCGGGGACTAGTTGATTATGACATTCTGTAATTATTATCAAAGAACTATTGGTGTGGCGTCCGATTTGCTCACTCTATCGGCCTTTGAAGCATTATAATGTGACATTCAATCCCACTATTTGTTGATAAAGTGTAGCTCAAGAGTTGGCGGTGGGTTGTGTTGACTAGTTGCCTTCCCTCTAGTCTTACACTGCTAAATTAGGGACGGCTAGCGCAGATAGCCCTCGAGTAGCTTTGCGCGAAATTCATAACAAACCAAACCATAACAAACTTTTTTTCTGCTAGGTTTCAGTTTAAACGCTCCTCGCATTTCATAAAGTTTTCAACAATTTCGTCTGTATTGTTGTGGTGAAGTAATTAATTACTACATCTGTCTAATGCTGGAGACAATACAATTTATTTCATCGTTCTCACTGATCAATTTATGATAGATATATTAAATAAAATATTTTTCACAGAACCTTTTACCCTTCTTGAATTTTTTAAAATCTCAATTTGTATTTTTTTTTGATAAAAGAGTTAGCACAAAGGATCACATATTTAATAGACTTAAAATAAGACCAAAAACTCGAGCGCTTTCGCATAGTTGACTATTCTTCTTCAGAAGAACAAATTTGTATTTTGAATAGTCTTGGTTTATGAAGTTAACTATGAAGTGTAAAATAAAAACATTAAAATTAAAACATTTAAAAAAATTTTTCTTAAACATTTGAGGAAAAAAACACACTAGAACGAGACGACCTGTGTACGACCGGTTTGACCAGATTTCTATATAGCACTTGTACGACTGTATTGCCCACTACTTGTGGTAAATTTTGTAAATAAAGTATTTGAAGATATGGATCATTTCTAGGTGGCGATCGGTGGTACGTAAGAAAATACGTTTGAGAATTGTTCTTTAATATTCTCGCTTGTTAAACTGTAAGATGTCATTTCAAACATATTACAGAACACAGATATTACGTTACTTAAATAACCTCGTTTTAAGAGATTAATTACCACTTTATTTATCATTTCATTCACCACTTGCCGCTGATAGATTGGGCTTCATATTTATCATAGGTAATAAAAAAAAACATTTTTTTTTGTAAAATGATGTAGGGATGGCAGTGCCAATAAGAATACAAGCAAGAGTATAGGGATAATACAGTTATATA